TGATACATGTTTATATGTTACATGTTCGCATGTTTAAATGTTTAGATGTCACATGTTTACATGTTACATGTTTACATGTGATACATGTTTATATGTTACATGTTCGCATGTTTAAATGTTTAGATGTCACATGTTTACATGTTACATGTTTACATGTGATACATGTTTATATGTTACATGTTCGCATGTTTAAATGTTTAGATGTCACATGTTTACATGTTACATGTTTACATGTGATACATGTTTATATGTTACATGTTCGCATGTTTAAATGTTTAGATGTCACATGTTTACATGTTACATGTTTACATGTGATACATGTTTATATGTTACATGTTCGCATGTTTAAATGTTTAGATGTCACATGTTTACATGTTACAAGTTTACATGAGATACATGTTTATATGTTACATGTTCACATGTTTAAATGTTTAGATGTCACATGCTTACATGTTTACATGATACATGTTTATATGTTACATGTTCACCTGTTTAAATGTTTAGATGTCACATGCTTACATGTTTACATGTGACATGTTTATATGTTACATGTTCATATGTTGAAATGTTTACATGTTACATGTTTAAATGTTTATACTTTACATGTTGACATGTTTATACGGTACATGTTTACATGTTACATGTTTAAATATTTAGATGTCACATGTTTACATGTTACATGTTTACATGTTACATGTTTATATGTTACATGTTCACATGTTTAAATGTTTGCATGTTACATGTTTAAATGTTCATACTTTACATGTTTACATGTTTATACATTACATGTTTACATGTTCACATGTTTAAATGTTTACATGTTACATGTTTACATGTTTACATATTTGTATGTTACATGTTTAAATGTTTACATATTACATGTTTGCATGTTACATATTACATGTTACATGTTTATGTGTTTAAATGTTTACATGTTACATGTTTACTTGTTACATATTCACATGTTTAAATGTTTACATGTTTACATGTTACGTGTTTAAATATTTACATGTTACATGTTTACATGTTAAGATGTTTGCATGTTACATGTTTAAATGTTTAAATATTTACATGTTACATGTTTACGTTTAGATGTTTGCATGTTACATGTTACATGTTTACATGTTAAGATGTTTGCATGTTACATGTTTAAATGTTTAAATATTTACATGTTACATGTTTACGTTTAGATGTTTGCATGTTACATGTTACATGTTTACATGTTTATACATTACATATTTACTTGTTAGA